GATCATCACTCCTTTCTTGAAGAAATTTAATATTGCCATTTAACAAATCTCGAAACCTTTGCAAAAACTTGCTGTGAGTCAGCCACCTTACGTCGGTGTGTAAGATTAAATGTCGATCTTTGTCATCCAGTTGTTGCTTACACAGCTGTCTTTGCAGATATTTGCCTCTTATTGAATTGTCAATTTTAAACGCAATATCCATAACGTCTTTTGTGTTAAAACTTTGACTGGTCAAGACCTGTTGATGAATAAGGCAGTGGTAATTAATGAAGACCGAGAAATCTTCATCTTTGTAACATAGTGATATAATTCCATTACATTAGCAGCTCTTCTCTTATTGAGAAATTATCAAAGACCATCTAAATAAAAATATGTAACTGTGCAGTATCCATGATATTTGTCAACTCATCAAGCTGTAACGAAAAAGCAAAGCACCGCAGTAGATCTCTTTGCAGTTGTTCCTTAAGATTTTTACTCAACAATTCTATACGACGCATCACAGTAATTCTTGACAGCTGTAGATCATGTATACTTTTTTTATTTCATTTTTATTTTTGAAATTAACAAACAATAAATCTGACAAATCTTCAAATATTTCTTTGACATATTCTTCATCATAAAACGCTTTAAACGTTTGCGAAATGTCATAACAAACTAAGAATGCAGCTTCAGTTACAGTCTTAGACTGTTCATTAGGCTTACAGAACATATTTTCCTGACCAGACAAAAGAGATTTTAATGCTTAATATTTATTCTTTTTCACTTCACTCATAGGTGGAAACTCTGTTACCGTGTAATGTGTTGAAATGATGCTCTAAATTTCGTTTTTTCGGTATTGCTACTGATGTCAGCAACAATTTTCTTTCACCATGATTTACTATGATGTGATTCGCTCTTACGCGAACGGGATAAAAATAGCAGAATGAAAAAGAAAAAAAGCGACTAACCATTTATAGTCACTATATAGTCATAATATGCTAGTATAGTATATCACACTATAACATTTATAGTATCATGTGCAGAGTGGGCACTTCATATTTCGCTCGAGATAATCGATGTAAGATTGCTAGCACTCCAATAATTTTCGTAATATTTATTTTATTTTTCTGATATTTTTTTCTTGCCCGCGATCGACGGGTTGGCCCCCCTGCCCTAGACAAACGGAACGGTATAACTTAATTTTGTTTGTGTTTTAGTTTTAGGCCAATTATAGAAGTTGATCCACCAATTCTTTAAATCCAAAATGTTATAATAATTCTCTACTTCTATTACAGCGACTTTTCTTCTCACACTCGACGTTATCATAAATTTAGTAAACTTGTGTACAGAAAAAATTCTGTCGAAGTCCTTCAAAAGTTTTTATATTTGATTTTCTTTTTCGTTCTGTCAAAACATATTACTAAGGTTTACATGTCTCTTCTATTTTTTATATATATTTTAGGTTAGTTTGACAGAGGAAGTGTCTATGTTTATGCAAACCTTCATTTATAATCAAAATTTATATATCTTCATTTATACAAAATCAAATTTAATAATGTCATTATGTTAATTAATTTTGCTAATTTTAAAACACAATCCTCACAAGGGTAAGCCTATTGAAGATATAACAACTTCATTTTTCTAATGTAGTTATTTATGTTAATTTGTAGTACGTTTTGAAAAAGAGTACAATAAAATCGAAAGCTTAACAAACCTAGAAGAGTTTTACTTAAAGGCCAATATTGACTACTAAACCCAAGATATCCGTATATATTACTCACATAGTCACTAAAGCCCTTTCTAAGAATATATATATATATATATATATATATATATATATATATATATATATATATATTGTATATATAAATATATATATATATATATATATATATAAAATATATAATATATATATATATATATATATATATATATATATATATATATATATATATATATATATATCGGAAAAAGGAGTACGACCGTCAATCCAATATATATATATAAGGATCACTCAGACGAGTGGTGGGTTCTTATATCGGTCTCTAGGTGGAGAAATAAAAGACAAAGTTGATAGGGTACTTTATCTATTTTGAAGACGTTTCGCTTTCGAGTTTTGAAAGCATCATCAGTTCATCTAAAAAATTATTACAATATGAGAACCACACAATCATGGAAACGATGTTAATTGTTACCTTAAAAAGATATGTAGCAGTCAATGTTATTAACAAATATGTGAATGAAACTAAGTAAATGGACATAGTACGCTGATCTTGTATAAACAGTTAAGCAACTAACAACATATATGAACTTGTAAAAAATTAGCACAGCAATTGACCATGTGGTCCAAAATACATTCAATGTTATTTAATGTTAATAAGTGAGAAAGAACCAAGACAATCATAAATAACTTCCAACTATTTAATGGATATTAAGCTTTGATTTTAACTTTAGGTAGCATTATAAGTAATATTAATAAAATTCTAAAAAATAGTGAATATGAAGTTACCGATTCACGGCGACATCCATAGGGCTTTGATCGGTAACTTCATATTCACTATTTTTTAGAATTTTATTAATATTACTTATAATGCTACCTAAAGTTAAAATCAAAGCTTAATATCCATTAAATAGTTGGAAGTTATTTATGATTTTCTTGGTTCTTTCTCACTTATTAACATTAAATAACATTGAATGTATTTTGGACCACGTGGTCAATTGCTGTGCTAATTTTTTACAAGTTCATATATGTTGTTAGTTGCTTAACTGTTTATACAAGATCAGCGTACTATGTCCATTTACTTAGTTTCATTCACATATTTGTTAATAACATTGACTGCTACATATCTTTTTAAGGTAATAATTAACATCGTTTCCATGATTGTGTGGTTCTCATATTGTAATAATTTTTTAGATGAACTGATGATGCTTTCAAAACTCGAAAGCGAAACGTCTTCAAAATAGATAAAGTAGCCTATCAACTTTGTCTTTTATTTCTCCACCTAGAGAGCGATATAAGAACCCACCACTCGTCTGAGTGATCCTTATATATATATATATATATATATATATATATATATATATATATATATATATATATATATATATATATAGGTAGAGGTATATTAGGAATTATTTGAAAACTCATATATTTTTTTAAACTTTGCAAATGTTTGTATTAGCGTTAATTATATTATTTATTATATTATTTGCGTTAATTTTGATGTTTTGCTTTCCACTTCGGCAATCGATCTCAAATTATCGATAAAAAATTCTCAAAAAATAAATATTTTAAGATTGACTTCCGAGGTGGAAACCGAAACGTCAAAATAAACGTATTTTAAAATAAACTTGTGACTAATTTTCGATAAAACTGAAAATAATATTAAAAGGCAACAAGAAATAGCTTTAGAACATATAGACAAATTTGCAAAACTCTAATACGTAAAAAATATGAAGGGATCCAAAAAAATCACAAAATGTATTTCTGCTTTCTCGCGGATAAAAAATCGGCTTCTTTTTGTCTCATTACCATCTTATTTATATATGATAATCAGCAATAAAACCTCAGTTATAAATTGAGACGTTGATCCCAATAGTGGCCCAACCCACAAAATTTCACTTTTCAGCAGAAACGGCCTATACATATTGCGAAGTTTTTAATACAATAATAGCTCAACCCTAATTTAGTTCTCCAACCAAGAGATGTCAGTGTACTTCACTTTTGCATTTATATTATTTAGACAATTTATAGTGTAAGCACAGCCTAAACCACTTTGGGCCACTTTTGCATTCTAATTTAATCTGTAATTCAGAATCAGTTGTATTTAAAAGTTTATTAATAATAGTTTCTGACTATGAATATTATTCAGGTAATTAAATGCATACTTTTTATCACAACTGCTGTCGACATCAATAATAGATACTCTTAATTTGGAGTTGCTTTATCATATCAATAAGTTTTTGTGGGGTTTATAAAAAAGTAATTTTGTCTTCTAAACTAACTATTTGAGTGTTGAACTTTAAGTGTTAATTGATGAATATGTCAATTTTAGAATTGAAGCAATCTTTTTAAAATACTGTTTCAAAATATGAACCGGTATTGTGCAAAATCCTAATAAAACATATATATATATATATATATATATATATATATATATATATATATATATATATATATATATATATATATATATATATATATATATATATATATATATATATATATATATATATATATATATATGGTAACAAAATATCATAAGACACCACGAAGATAAAACTCGAAAGCTTTAAGGATAACTCCACAACTGAAAAAATCAGAAACACATGTATCACAGAAAGTGATGGAGCAAAAGAAAGCTGGGCAAACATTAAATCTAATATCTTAGTCTCAGCCAAGAAAGTTCTTGGTACAAGAAACATAAACAAAAATAAATCGTTCCCAACGCCAAGAACTCCATAGTTCTGTACAGAAGTGAAGGAAAATGTAAAGAAAAGAAAAAAGCTTACCTGAAATACATGTCAACCAAAACACAAGAGTCATACCGTAATTACAAGACAATTATAAACGAAACACATGCACTTGTAGGAAAAATAAAAAATGTTCACTGGAAACATTTATTATAAATGTGAATATTAAAATTATTAAATACAAAAAAATACCGGAAGAATGGAAAACGAGCGAACTAATTCCGCTATTTAAAAAGAAAATAAAAAACAGCCAGAAAACTGCATAGGTAGGGAAGAGGTGGGATAGTTGATCCTGGTGGGATACTTGATCCCCATGTAAATTTGGCGCCAAATTATATCCTATTACTGTTCTGTTGACCCACTTGCGTAGAGGCCATACTGTCTACTTTGTTTTGACAAATAACTGCTACTTCAGAACACGCTTGTCATTTTAATCAAGATTATTCTATTTTGTGATATTGAAAGTTTATTTTACGCGTGCGAGGTAAGTTATAACAACTTTAATGCGTTTAGTTTATAATTATACTGCCCAAATATGTAAAACATTTATACTTTTATCATCGAGCCAAAAGATAAAAGAGGGAATCTAAAGGTAGTGGGGACAAAAATATTGTTAGACAGGAAGTGCTATCTTGAGAGGCCACTTTCAACAAGGAAAGACAGTCTCTTTCCTTGTTTGAGAAGTCAAATTTAGTTTGGTTGTTATTGTTTGTCCCAACTGTCACATGAAATTTTATTTATATTGAAGTTTTTTACCAATTGTGTCACTTTTTAGACTATTATAGTTAATATTTAATTAAAACTTTCTCGTCTAAAAAATATTTTATAGCTATTGTTAATAAGTGTTGGAAAATTTAAATTTAGCGCCTTTGCATTTCCGGATATGTCCGCCATCAGAGGCCACTTTTTTGGTCTCCTTTTCATAACGATTAGATTCCCTCTTTTATCTTTTTGCTCGATGACTTTTATTCACTAAATACTAAAACATTGGTATTTAAATTGTAACTGTTTTAACATAAAACTTGCACTTGTTAGAAAAATGTCATTGCAGGGATAGTTGATCCTATTAAATAGGGGATACTTTTGATCCCAGAATTAAGTATTCCACCAACGAGGTGAACTGGTTACGCTGTGTGCTGGCATCAATTCTGCAGGGGGTCACATGCCTCCTCACATGATATGGCAAAAAACTGGCAGCACAGATTTTCTAAGCCATGCACCTCCTGACAGCAATGCAACAACATATCCCAGTGGATAGATGACTTGCTCTGATTTTCTGAAGTTTTTGGAACACTTTGTTCGTTTTGCTCAACCAAGCCTAGATCAGAAACATTTAATTGTTGTAGACAACCATGGGAGCCAAGAAACAGCAAATGAGAGCAGCGCAACACAGGAAGAAAACATCGACTCAGACTGAATTTCTTAGTTATATTATATTTTTTATTAAATTTTTTTGGGTAGATTGGGAATTACAACTTTCAGTTTAAATTCTTTACCTGATTTTTTAGTACTTCTTTTAGTACTTGGTACTTCAATTAGTTATTTAATTAAATTGTAAAAAAATTAAATATGCATTTTTATTCTTATTATCTTATTTTATAAAACATGATCTTCTTATTTTATAAAAATTTATTTTATAAAAAAAATTCATTTCCATATTATAAAATTTTAAACCTTGTTTCTTCGAATACTGCTAAAATGGGATTACAATCGTTTACCTCTAAGGTACAGATATACATAAAAGAAAATCTACAGTATATCTGGTTTGAGGTGTTTAAATTATTGGTTGAAAAATAGAGAAAACTTTGTCCTCGATTTTCTCCGAATTAAATATTATTCGTGGCTTGGGCCACTATTGCGTTCAACGTCTCAATTGTTTTTTAATAAAGCGGAGGATCCGCTTCTGAACAACATGACTCATACCGTTTTTTTTGAGCTTTTTGTTCAGCTTTTAATACCCAAATAGTTTTATTAAACTCATCTTTAATTTTGGCTATCTCATTATCCTTCTGCTTTAGCAAACCTTCAAACTTTTTTGTTATTTCAAGGTCTCTACTGTCCAGCAATATTCTCAAATTCTCTAGTTCACTACTATATTTATTTTGACTATTACAGTTGCAAGCAGTAAAGTTTTTACTAAGGACTTCAATGGATGCTTTACATTTGTCCAATCTACTTTGTGTAGCATCCCAGGTGTGTTTTAGAGCTACAATTTCCGTATGTAGATCTTTAACATCTTTTGTTGTATTCTTAGCAGTTTTAGTAAGTTGAAGTAAGCCTTTTGTAACATTTTCTGTCTGTTTGCTATTTAGTTCTATTTTTAAATTCACGTCTTTCATATCTGTTCCTAGCTGTTCTAAAGATTGTTTAAATTTAGAAGAAGTACCATCTAAAGATTTTTCAAGATTTAAAATACGGTCTTTATTACTGCTTATTATTTGAACATTGGATTCAAGTTTTACCGAAAGATTCTTAAGGATTAAATCAACATTACTACTCCTTACATCTAGTTTATCGATTCTTGTAGATAAATCATCTGCTTTAGAAGAAATAAATGTCATTTCTGTTGTACACGTTTCGTTTAAACTAATAAACTTTTTCAAAATATTTTGGTTACTTAGAGTATAATTCTTCTTTAAATCTACAGTGTCTAAAAGTAATTTTTGTATTTCTTTATTGCTATCAGAAATAGATTTATTTACTTCCTTCAAATATGGATCTACCGCTATAATCATTCTATCCTTGAGTGTTTTTTGAATATTGTTAATAACTACCTCAGTGTTAGAGAAATCATTTTTAAATAAGTTTAGTTCATTTTGCACTACGGCTATGTTACCCTGAGTTAGTTTTTCTAAATTTTTAAGGGTACTTTCTAACAGTAATATTTTTTTCCAAGAAGAATTTGCTTCTGAAGACATGGATTCATTTAAGTTACTTATATGTTTATTAATGATTGTTTCGCTCGCATTTATATTCTTATATATATTTTTGGACAGAGTTTCAATAGCATCTTTAATTTTTTCTACTTGATTTTTTGTATCTGTTAAATGTAAATTATTATTATTTAATTCCTCGTCAAATTTTTTGTTTTCTGTTATAATATTATTTATTTTCTCTCTAAAATTTTTCTCAATTTTTTTAATTTCTGCGTAATTATTTTTACCTGAAGTCATTTCATTAGATATAAGTTCTTTTATATCATCGACTGACTTATTTATGTATTTTTCAAGACTTGCGAAACGTTGTACGTAATTTTTGTTTTCGTCCTTTAACAATTTTAACTCCGGGTTAAAATCATTTTCAAAATGTTTGGTAATACCTTTAATAACTTGATGAAGATTGGTAATGTTTTTAAACACTTCTGTTAATTGAGATCCTGTATTTCTATAAAATAGTTCGCTTTCTTTTTTGTACCTATTTATAAGATTTTCAGTAAAATTTTTAGCCTCCTCAGACGTTTGTTTACTGTGGTTTAAAAATTCAAATCTTTTGTTAATATTATCAGTAGATGTCAAAAGTGTTGTATTTATTCTTGATATATTGTTTTCTACGACTTTCTGTTGTCGCAAATATTCTTCAACTGTCTTTTTCAAATGATCTAAAGATTGGTGAACATCCTGGACATCTTTTTTACATTCAGCGCTCTTTGTAAATAGTTTTTCAACTGTTTTATTCGTGACATTCAAAACATTTTTTTCAAAGCTATGTGAAAAATCTTGCAGTGTGTCATTAACATTGATTAAATTCTGTTTTAATTTTGCTATTTCTTCGCTGTCAGTATGGGTTGCTTTTTCAAAAACTGTATTAAATAACCCCAACTTTGTTTGAATATCTTTAATTGTGTTTTCAGATGTGCTTAGTTTATTTACCCAAGAGTTTTCTAAAGATTCCATATCTTTTTCTAGCTTTTCAGATGTAGCTGTTATATTTTTCAGTGTCGTTTTCTTGACGTCATCCAATAGGTTGGAATAATCTTGTTTAAGTTTGTATACATCATTTTTGAAGTTATCAATTTTGATTTCAGCAAATTTTAGTTTAGGATTAATTTTGACAGCAATTTCGGTTTCTATGGATGACAGACGTTTGCCTAGTAATTTGTCTATAGAAATAATTGTTTTTTCGAGTTTATCAATATTAACTTCCAGATTTATATTAATATTATCACTGTTGTTTTTATATCGTTTCAGCTTTGTATCCAGATCCTTAATATCCGATTTATGTATCACAGAAATTTTATCCAATTCCTGGTTTATTGTCTTTTTTAAATCCTTATAAGAATTCTCTTCGTTTTTTCTCACATTTTGTATTTCATCGAAACAAGTCTTGATCTTGGTATTTACAGGTATGAATAAGGCATCAAGTCTTTTGGAAATACTGGCCTCATTCTGCAATTGCGCATCTTTAATGATTTTACTGACGTTTCCGAGTTTTGCAGTAAAATCTTTAAAGTTGTTATTAGTAGAACTAAACAAATTATCATGGATTTTTTTCTGTACATTATGATTATCTTGTAGCTGTTTAATATTTTCTTCAAGAGATCTGAATCTTTTATTAAAATTATCATGATCTTTTTTAGAAGTTTTAATATGATCATCTTGTTTTAATATATTTGTTTTAATTTCTTTTTGCAGGCTTTCCACTAAAGTTGTAGTTTTTGATTTTAAGCTATCAATGTTTGTAAAACAACTTTTAGTTTTACTTTTTAAATCATCTATAAGAGGGCTAAAAGTTATGTTGCTAATATGTTCTGCTTTAGTCATTTCTGTTTTCAAATCGCGGCTTAATTTATTTAAAGAATTATAGAGATTTTGATGTTTAATATCGCTACTAGTTTTGTAACTTTGTAAATCATTTTCAATTTTTTTAACCTTTGTATTAACGATGCTAATGTTTACGAGGCAAGCAGCGCTGGATTCTAGAAGGCCTTTTTTAATTTTCGTATCATATGCATTGTTATTTGCAGCAACATCCTTTTTAAATTTGTTAAACTGTACTTGCACTTTACTTACATATGTATCACAGTTTTTACTAGCAGATTCAACAACCGGTTTTAGCTTATCCAAAATACTTTTTTCTAGAGCCACGTTTGCAGTTCCTGCATTAAGGATTTGACTTTTAATATTGCCTGAAATGTTTTTATAATAGTTAAGAAATTTTTGGTCTACATCACTTTGCGAGTAAAAAGGAATCTTATTAAGTTTAACAACTTTATTCTCTATCGCTTTAATTGTGTTTTCTAAGTCTTTAAAATGTGTTTCCACACCTCCAATTTTAATAAAGATCTTTTCAGACTCCATCCTCTGAGATAGTTTTACAAAATTTTTGTTTGCGTTTTTTAAAGTCTCTACATTTGCTACCAAAGAATTTATTGTAACGTTAGTCTTTCTAAATTGTGATCCAAATACTGATGCTTGTTTATTTAAATAAACTTCGCTTTTTGAAACTTTCGTTTTTACATCATCTATAGCCAGTTTGTTCTTATTTATGTAATTACGATATACGCTAAAAACTGTTTTTATATTCTCAGCGTCAGCAAAATAGTTGGACAAAAATTGTGCATCAAAATCTAAACTAAGAGACTTTAAATCACAATCTTTTAAAATTTTTTCGCTGACCACACTCTTTGTTGGTAAAAAAGTCATTTTAGGCAGAATCCCAAATTCTCGCAATGCAGTATTTTTGTTAATATTTTCTATCTCGACTATATATCGCATTTCTTCCGTGAACCACACAAGTTTGTTATTACATTTCGAGGTAGTAGTAAGTCTGAGAGAAAATGCCTGGTCTAATCTTGGGGAGTAGTAAAACACGTACTGAAGTTTCTCTGGAACGAATTTCCAAATATCTACTGCGGCAGATAATACTGCTTCTAATTTTGTAGGACATTTTTCTTTGATCGTTGGTACCACATTCCATACAGCTGCATACGTTGGACTTTCCTTGGGATCAAAACAAAAGCCTCTGTTGTAGATACATTTTGTGCCGGATCTAAAATAAACATAACAGGTTTAAAAAGTTAAAAATTTAAAAATACGTTTTAAAATATGTAAAAATATGTTTAAAAATATGTAAAACTAAGCCAGAAATTAGTTAAAAACTTTACGGAATACCAAAAAATAAATTATATTTTCTGATAGAATATAAATAAAAGAATAGTCTAATTTGAACACAGTAATGTAAGTCCAGTATTTTATTGTTAACTCGGAGCCTTCTATATCTTAGGGCAACTATATATTATAGTGATTTCTCACCAGTATTCCATATCCATCGCCATTATCCACCAAGCATGTGTTAATCGATGTTAGCAAGGAACCTTGTTCTGGCGTTTTTCTAACTGGGTCATTTTATTTCATCCGAATTACATGCCCTATCCACCCCAGATGTCCTATCTTAATTTTTTTAGGATATCAGGTTCCTGGTATATTCTATTCTAAGTTCAAAATTTTATCGTCTTCTCCACACATCATTTTTATTCACTGTTCCATAGATTCGCCTTAGTACTTTTCTTTCGAAACTTTTCATTATTTTTTGTTAGAGTCCATTTCCTTGAACCATATGTTATGACTTGGCGTATTATTGTTTTTTAGAGTTTTAATTCTGTATTTCTTGATATAATTGTGGATTAAAGGAAAATATTGAGCCCGAAATCCTGCGGTAGTATTATTTTCAGTGTTAAGGAGCGCTCCCAGGTATACAAATTCGTTCACTGCTTCGATGACGTCGTTTTCTATAACAAGTGGTCGTAGGATTTGTGGTTGTAGGCTTATTCTCATATACTTCGTTTTGTTGGTATTTATTCTTAAACCCATCTTTGTAGCTGATTCTTTTAATGCTACATATGTCTCTCCAACACCGTTTTCCGTTTTTCTAATAATATTCATATCATTGACATAGGCCAGAATTTGCACTGATTTATTATATATTAAACCAGTGGTTGTGATTTGTGATACACGTGCTACTTTTTTTAGAACCACATTGAACAGCATGCAGGAGATAGGGCCTCCCTAACGCAGACTGTTATTTGTTTTAAAAGGTTCAGACACTTCCCCCCGAATTCGTACTCTACATTCTTTTTCAAGAGTTATTTTTGTTAAATTTATCAACTGATTTGGCATTCCTAGCTCTCTCATTGCTTTGAACATTTCTCTTCTATTTACAGAGTTGTAGGCTGCTTTGTATTCCATAAATATGTGATGAGTATTAATGCCAGCCATGACAACACGGTAGTCAAAATGTATACAAATAATTTATTTGTCGTCTGCAATAAACTCAATTTATGAGAATTGTAACGAGAAATAAATTATTGAAAATATCCAGTCAACAACATAAGACATTAAGTAAAGAAAAGTGCAAGAAAAAGTAAGATATAATTGATGAGCCTATTTAACATCAAAGCATAAAAACGAACCTCTGACCTTTGAAATTGCGACGTTGCTGTTGTGAATAGACTTTCGGGGTAGGCACAGAAAAATAACAATGTTTAATAAACATAAAATTCATACGGTAAACGCTGTCTTCTCTGAACTGTTGAGGTGGAAGACAGTATTTGGCTCAGAAAAATGGAAAAACATCTCTGAAACATTTAAAAAGTGATGATACACTTTTAGAAGGAGCGTCAAAACGAAAGGACAGATATAAAGACAACGAGGAAGAAGATAACATTTTCAGAAAGAGCAAGAAGTTTTCAAGAACACCAACAAGAACTCCAGAGAAAAAAAAATGACGAAACAAAATTTGATCAATCACTAATAATGATAAGCCACCTCAGTCACCTCACCGATGACATTTAGGAAATAAAAAGAAATAAAAAAAGCAAGGAAACAATAGAGAAAGTCATTATGGAAAACAGAGAGTTGAGAAAAGAAAATGCTGAACTAAAACATAAAAATATGGAGATCAAGGAGGAACTCAAAGAAATAACAAAAAACATAGAAGTTATGGAAAAACACCGAAAAATAAATACCACAGTTATGAATGGCATAAGGATAGACACATATGAGTAAGCAGGGTTAGAAGGAACAATCAACAATTTCATCAAACAACATATAGAAGTAGAGGTTAAAATAAGGAGCGCTCACAAGCTAGGCGAAAAAACATGCCTTAAATTAGAAAACCAAGAAGAGCAAGAAATGTACGAGAAAACAATGGAAAAAGAACTAAAAAACATACAAATAGAAGAGCAAACTGAGAACAAATGGGAAAACATAAAGCAAGTAATGAACAAAGCAGCAAAATAATGTAATAAACAAGAGAATAAAAAGAGATAAGACTGGTTCGATATAGAGTGCCAAAAGAAATAGAACTAAGAAAATCAGTAAGGACAAAGAATAGATATATGGAGCAAAGTCAAAAAGTAAAGAGGTTGCTGAGAGAAAAGAATAGACAACACATAGAAAATAAGCTAAAAAAATAGAGAAGAATTACAGAAATTAAGAAATAAGAAACCTATATCAAGAAGCTAGAACTGAAAAAAGAGGTTTCCTACAGAAACACATATTCGTTAAAAACAAAGCAGGAAATAATATAAGCGGTGAAGCTGAAATAGTCGACAGATGGAAAGTGTATTTTGATGAATTACTAAATGGCAATAATAAGTCAAACCAAAGAGAATATATGAAAGCAGAAACAAGAATCGAACACTTAGAAGACATAAAAGATAATTCACTTAGCAAAGAACAAATCGAGGAAATCATAAAAAATTTGAAAAACAATAAATGCCCTGGAAGCTATAACATAACAGCAGAGATGATGAAATATGGTGGAAAACTGTTAAATGATTGGATATACAAGATCATAAAGGAGATATGGATAAAAGAACGAATACCAGAAGATTGGATCAATGCCATATTCCAGTGCTTTTTCCAAAATTTCTTTCAGGGTTGCAATCTGATGAATTGTCGATTTACCACTTCTCAAAACAAGCTTGGTATTCTTTTACTATCCTACCACCATGAATAAACTAGGCATTTGTTATAGCAAGATCATTACGCTCATAACGTAGTTAATCAAACTCACATTTAACATATATTTAAGAATAGAAGAATACATTGATAAAAGGTTGCCGGTCAAGAAGTGTCCGTGACTAGTTTTAATTCAATTAATGGTATTTAATTTATGAACATTTTGAACGGCTATTTTATCTGCTATTTATTGCCCACGAATAAAATAATTAAAGCTTATCATTTTACTGAAAACTCTAATTATTATATATATATATATATATATATACATATATATATATATATATATATATATATATATATATATATATATATATATATATATATATATATATACAGGGTGTTTCAAAAAAAGGTAACCCCGTCTCTAGGGTAGGTAAAAAACTGAAAAATAATTTGGGTTTGCTTAGTAAAAAATTTTTGTAACGCCATCCGTTTTCAAGATACAGGGCGTTGAAGAAAAAAAAAAAAATTACGCATTTTTTACGATTTTGCCAAAACTACTGGCAACATTGTAATGAAATTTTATACGAATATGTTTTGGAAGCTGATACATCCCATGAATTTGTTTTTATATCTGATTCTCATAGAGGGCGCTAGTTACACGGATCGTACTAAGTATTAGTCAATATAACTTTTTTAAGAGTATAATTATTAATCAAAATTTTAAGTAAACTTAAACATCATTCAATTTTACACGAAAAAGGTACTCTTGGTAAAACTCGATACTGTGTACCGTTTTCGGAATATTTTAATTTGAAAATTCTGAAGTAATAATTGATGCTGGTAGTAATGATAAAATTCTAATAGGTATACCTCTATTTTCTCCAAGTGTGCCATGGAGATCTGACATTTATTGATTGTTATGATGATAAATCAACAATAATTAGAGTTTTGAAACCTTGTTATTTGTAAAATCAAATCAAAATGTACTCAAATGTTGAATACACTGACATGTTATTAACCTTAGGCGGATGTTTAGGATGTTCTAGTGCAGCTGTGACACGCTATGCAGAAAAGTTTCCTGGAAGAAACTTACCAAGTAAAAAAACATTTAGAGCCGTTGAACGACGTTGTCGAGAAACTGGGAATGTGAAACTAAATAAAATAAATTCTGGTAGACCAAGAACAACAAGACCAATTAATAAAGAAAATAATATTTTAAATTTACTTGATCAAGATCCAACAGTTAGCGTAAGAATATAGCAAGACAAACAAATACTTCTTCTTCAAGTACTTGGCGGATACTGAAAGAACAGCAATTACATCCTTATCATTATAGACAAGTCCAAGAGCTCTTGCCAGATGATCTACCGGTTAGAGTGGATTTTTGTGAAACATTGCAACAAAGGGCAGCCCACAATCCAATTTTTTTAAAAAGCATTCTTTTAACGGACGAAGCCACCTTTACGCGACAAGGTATGTTTAACTCCCATAATGCACACTACTGGTGTGATGAGAATCCACGAGTCAAAAGGGTATCATATTACACTCATTTAAAGTTAATGTTTGGGCAGCAACTTTAGGTAACACATTAATAGGTTATCATATTCTACCTGTAAATTTAAATGGTGATATGTATCTTGATATTTTAAACAATTCCTTATTCGAGATATTAGAAGATTTAACGCTAAACGAGCGAATATCTTTATTTTTTATGCACGATAGAGCTCCACCACACTTTGATAGAAGGTATCGTAATTGGTTGAGTAATCATTTTCCGAATCAATGGATTGGTATATGTGCAGAAGCTCCGATTCATTGGCCTCCTCGGTCATGCGATTTTAACCCTTTGGACTACGCAGTTTGGTCGTATATTAAGGGAAAAGTCTATGCTACAGAGGTAAATTTACGCCAAGAATTGGAAGAAAGAATTCAACGTCAATTTAATGACATCATAGCTGATCCCCTACCACCGTTTAGAAGGTTAATGGAATCTTTAGAAAAAAGAATAGTCTTGTGTATTCGCGAAAATGGAGGGCATTTTGAACACTTACTGTAATTGAATTTTATTTTATGTTCTTAGTC